ACCATATTATACTCATTATCCAACTTTTACTGAGGGGGGCAGTACCCAATATATATTGACAATTTGTTCCACACGGAAGGGTGGTACTTACAACTACTGGCAATTTCATGTTTCCTTTTTCATTGCGAGGGGTGCTGTGTACTGGTATTTTACACGGTTCAGGCTTTGGACCCTAAAGCCGTATTATCAAGATTTATATAATCTGGGATTTCCAGGAATGAGGAGGCCCCTTACAGACACCCAAGTACACCGCATCCCTTGTCGTGGGGACCCTCAAGGCGGAACCGTGTTCTGGAACCCCCCCCCCCTATAACACTGCTTTGCCAAGAATGGATGATGGCAGCCAAGGAAGGCCATGAAGGCCAGCCCTATGAAGGCCAAGGCCATGAAGGCCGGCTTCGGGGTGAAACGCTTCATGAGAGGGTTTAGTTTTGGAACTTTTTGGCTTTGGGGTCTAGGCTTTGAGGGTTACGGGTTTCTAACCGAAATCCTAAAGGCCCTATGCACAGGACAGCATGGTGAGCTCTATCTGGATTTTCTGGAAGACCAGGCTTTAGAAGAGTCGCAGCGACGATTTTTGCCGCCGGGGCTGGCACACGAGTTTTCTTCAGGGCACTGCCATACCTAAAATTGTGTCCCCCGATCTCTCAGCCGCCACTTATTACCGATGATTTCCTCAATTTCTACGCGGGGAAGACTCTAGCAGAATATAGGCATATAGGATCTTATCATGTAAGTAGGGGTCTCTGGGTTTTAGGTCCTTTTTCCTTGTTATTCCTTTGCCGCAGGCATGATATGTGTGCAGAGCTGAAGAGCCTTGCAATCTTTGTGCATCCAGGCAAGACATGTGTGCAGAGCCGGTTGTTCCTGTGAACGCCGCAACCTTGTGCCACTAACCCGTGTCAGGTTGTGGTACGTTTCAAATTTCTACCCCCACAGGCAATGAAGAAAAAGGCCATCAGCATCATCGCGCGGGGTAAGCTCGCGAAGGTCGCTGTCTTCAAGGGCCGCAAGGAGACCTGATCGGGATGCTTCTGTTCTCCCCAAAGAGCCCAGTAGCCCTTGATACGGTTTAAGCTACATACCCTGGGTCATATAAGGGATCCCCGTATGATTTATAGAATGTTCTCTGATTAAAGGTGTGATGGGCTCTTTGACTCACAATGGAATATCTTGAACTTGTGAATGTACCAAAAGGGGTACTCTTATGGCCTCTAGAGATGTATGGGGTTGAAATTGGATGATGGTAAGTACATAGGGATAGTTTTTCGGAGACCCACAAACACGGAAGAACGGGCAAACACGGCGAACTGTTTCCACAAACATCTAAGCATGTGGAGTACAAGGTGTTTTGACATGGGACAGCTGCAAGGCCTCCCAAGTGCCAAGTCCCTAAACCCAAAACCCTAAACTGCGTAGGTGAGGTCAGAGGTTGCAAGTTGTAGCCCAGAGCTTTTGGGTCGTTGGGGGTTTCCGGTTTGCTCCGTAATGAACTTGCATATCCTGGCCCCTACTCTTGGGTACCGTCTGATATCATAATTTGGGTCCTGTGATATCGATAGCAGGCACTTAACATCGCCAAGAAGGAGTGAACGCTGACCCCTATAGGGTCTCAGGCATTTTCTTGGCAGGGTTCACAATTACCCCCCAAAAAGGTGCTAGAAAGGAGCCTTGGTCAAGCGTGGCAGAAACGAGGTTGCGGATCAGGGTCCAGTGCAATCCCTTCAGATGCTGAAATATATGCCGAACATACGTTCAGGCACCCTGGAAGTTTTTTCCCCGAACGCCAATTCCTAGTAAAAATCAATGCGCAGCCGGCAAGTCGTGTTCAGATCTTTCTCTGCTTCCTCTTCATCGTGTGCGCGTGTAAATTCAGTGCATTGAGTTTTTGTTTTCCCGCCTGTGTCCGCCCGGCTTGCCACGGAGCGCAAAGAGAATTCCGAACACTTTCTGGCAAGAAAGCCTTCACGTGTTTAGCATCACCTGCGCAAGAGGGGCATGGAACGCACAATCACAAGTGAACGCGTACCTCCTGTACGAGCCCCATGCGCATGAAATCACATTCCGAGATTTGATGAGCCCTAAACCCAAGCCCTATACCAAACAGATGGAGATCTTGCTATTGCCAGGAGAAGACATCCACGGGCCTCCAGAAGACCCACTTGATGAAGAACAAGAATGGCAGGGTCGTCACCAAGAAGCAGTACCTTTCCAGACCATATGGATAGTTGCTCCGGTAGGTAGGGCGTTCTTCTCGAATCTGCAGTAAGTAGATGACATGTTAGGGCATGCAGAGCTCCAGAACTCGTGCTTTTGTGTCAGAGGCAGCCATCAGCGTTCCTAGTGCTCGCATGGTTAGTTTGACTGCATGTTCGATGGGGTTCTCTCAAGCCGTCGTCGCAGTGATCTCTACGCTCCTGCTTTGATCCGCAGTCTGTAGACCCATATTGCATAAACCTACTGAGCGCTTCCACGACACAGCTTGGAGCAAGGCATGCAAAGGGGAAGGAGCTGTTCAAGAAGTTTGCCCAGCGCTGGCTTGACGCCGTCATGAAGGCCAGGAAGGAGCTTGGCATCAAAGGCTTCTGCGCGGTGGGTGGCAAGACTCCGCAGGGGAAGGCTCTCTACGCCAAGGCAAAGGCTTTTTATGCCGAGTGAGTGGCACATGGCCAGCCTGCTTTCGTGGTAGTTCATGGAGTAGGCACGCCTGAAAAGTCTTGGTGCATCTGACTGTACAGATAGATCAGATGCCGAAGTGTTGCAGGGGTGCGGCGATGTTCTCCTGCCGGCCGACAAGCAAACTGGGGATGATCGCTGCAGGATATGCAAAAGATCTCAGCCTCACTGAAAGCATTCGGAACTGCACAGTCGTCAAACATGCTTCCTAGTCTAAACCTACAAAACTTGCAAAATCTGAATCTTACCCAAACTATAGCATGTCTTTTGCAGGCGCATTGCGTGAGGGTAGCTTTGCAGGCTTCGGACCGTGTGTGGTGTGTTGGCGACCTAAAGAGTTGCTCTTTGTGGTCCAAGCCTACCTGTTTTGCCATCAAACATACGCCGCGCTCTTTCCTGTTTCCCAGCAATGGCGCTGCCAATGAAGACGGTCATGAAGAGACTGGGTCTGCAAGCTTGGACAGTGTCGTGCTTCATGTTTGGAAAGGCATGCGGGCGCATGTAGGTGAGAACAACAGAGCCAGAGTTGAAGGACAACATTTTCACAGCGAGGCCATTCACACTTCATGTCTCTGCTATGATCGCTGTTTCACTTGCTGTCAATGAATCTTTTTTCCACATGCTGGGACATGGCAGAGATCACATCTCATCAGGCTAGCTTGTTTTTGGCCGTTGAGTCGAGGACTTGCCAAATAGAAGTTAATAGAACTGCATAGCCCAACCAGTGACGTTCTCATGTTGCCTGAATTCGACGGCCCAGTATAAGACTTTCACTGGGCCTTCTGGCTGCTAAGGCTCATGTGAGCCATAATCTAAACTGCCAGTATCCCCCTTAATAATCGCTATCATGCTTTCCTATGTAGTCCCCCATATAACCGCCTTAAAGGAGTTTAGACTATAGCTCATGTGCAGCTTTTCTGTACGTCATCTACAGCTTGTTCTGTCATCTGCCGCAACCAAGGAAGGCCATGAAGGCCAGCCCTATGAAGGCCAAGGCTATGAAGGTCCATCTATGGGTTCAAAACACAGGTCTTAGGGTTTAGGGTTCAGGGTTTAAGGGTTTAAGGGTTGAAGGGTTTAGGGTTTAGGGTTTGGGGTTTAGGGTTTAGGGTTCAGGGTATAGGATTTAGGGTTTAGGGTTTAGGGGCATGGTTGGAGCTTCATGAGCTTTGTCTAGGAGTTCAAAACATTGCAAATGAGACTCAGTAGGGGCATTGTTGGAGTTCTGTGTGGGCTTCATATGAGCTATAGTGTTAGCTGCCAGTATCCCCCTTAATAACCTCCATAGCCGTCCCTATATAATCCCCCATAGAACCCCTTTAAGGAGTTAAGACTATAGCTTATATCGAAGATTCCAGAGGCTCGCTAGCAACAAACAAGTTCGGGAGACGGCGTTCTGCAACAGCGATTGCAAATCATGTGTTTCGAGGCTTGACCCACCTAAACTTGTGCTCTCACCTTGCCAACGAGCCAACTCTTTATACATGATTCCTCAATTTCCTGAGCGGACTCATCCTATCATGCCTCTTGAGGGCCTCGCTTCGGCAAAAAGATGGCAGGCAATAGTTCCTTTGCCTCAAGCATGATATGTGTGCAGAGCAGAAGGGCCTTGCAAGCTTCATGCCTCCAGGCAAGACAAGTGTGTAGGGCCGGTTGTTCCTGTGAACGCCGCAGCCTCGTGCCACTAACCCGTGTCAGGTTGTGGTACGTTGCAAATTTCTACCCCGGCAGGCAATGAAGAAGAAGGCCATCAGCATCATCGCGCGGGGAAAGCTCGCGAAGGTCGCTGTCTTCAAGGGCCGCAAGGAGACCTGGGGAAAGCCGACCTAATCTTACATCATCCTTCTATCTAAGAGCTCCGATGGCCGTGGGATTTGTGGTCTTTGCTCTGCCAAGCCGATGGCGAAGGGGTTTCAGGTTTACGCTGTGTACTCCCTGCCTCACACCCTTATCATGCCGCAACCCCCAAACCCTACATGTCCAGTGCTTTGTTTTTAGGGCCCAGTAGACGTATGAGGCGAACCAAGGAGCTGTTATAGTCCCCCCTAAGTAGATAGAATATGGGGTATAGGGGATCTTGTTTTATACCCAAAGCCATATTCTATCTACTTAATGGGACTATAAACTATGCGATGCCACATTGACCCTCAGGCTCCAGCGTAGTTCCTCCTCTGGGTGTGTCGTAGTAGTTCTCTGCCAGGGGCTCCTGCTGCAATACCCAACAACCCAGAATGGCCTATATTCTCCCTTAACTATGGAATATTCCTCAATTCATATTACTGACCTAGTATCATTTAAGGTCTATTCCCTGAAGAAAGGACATTGGACTTTCTGAGAAAGTGGTCAATAGGGTGGTACTTAGGAGCTTCCGGGCAGCTCCAGGGTCCAAGAAGGCCGCAGCAGAGAAGAGGTTATTTGGGTATAGTATGGTACCCAATATATGGTAAGATTATCTTCTTTTCATCTATAGGATCTTATATGCAGCATATCCTCCTACTTGGTTCAACCACCAAAAGACGCTACTCAAGTGTTCAATGCATCCCAGCCAGGCCCCAGAAATGCAACTCTGATTCCTACAAACCCCAAGGAAAGTGCTCCGCAACATCGGCAATCCTTACGCTGCGCGTATTGTTCATCTGCCGTTGTGTTGAGTTTGTCAGTTCCCCTCCAAGACGCGAAGTCAGGCCCTCTTTCCACTCAGTAACAGCTGGATAATAATTGTAATATGGTTATATATAGCCCTTAATAGGACCCTTAATATAGACTGTTACTGGGTGGGGGCATTACCCAAGGCCCTCTCAACTCTTGGGCTACAACGAAAGCACTGGACGGAACGCAGCTCCTGCTTGCTCTCATGTTGGTTTACAAGCGCCCCCCAAGCCCTCCAAATTTCGAAGCCGAGGCTACTCCCAAAGCCTGTCGTGCCAGACGAGTCACACCTGCAATCCAACCCCTGTACATGCCCCAGATGCATGAAATCGTCCTTCCGGGATACCCTGCATGAAGTCCGGTTGCTTTCAGGAGAAGACATCCACAGGCCTCCAGAAGACCCACTTGATGAAGAACAAGAATGGCAGGGTCGTCACCAAGAAGCAGTACCTTACCAGACAATGTGTGAAGTTGCTCGTGTTGGGTAACTCTAATAGCACTTCCCTGCTCCCGCCCTCTCAGAAAGTAGAAGTCGTACAGTGCCTAGGCCTCCCAACTACAGATAGGAATATGGCTCCAGACAGGACAATTATGTAATCCAGGACTTTACGTTTAGGGTATATAGGCTTTTGAGTTTAGAGATTGGGGTTTAGGGTTTACGTTTGTACCCTTGGGTATTGGGTCCCACGCACGCTACTTTTTTGCTATATCCACATGCATGGCCTAGGGATCCAAAGCCATGGGTATACCTGGACCCCAAAAGTATGTAAAATAATGGCCTTTAGGGCTATTATTATGGGTTTAGGGCTATTATTTGGAATATTTTGGTGGTTTAGGTACACCCTAAGGGTACATAGGACAAGCCGGCGTGTAAGCAAAGGATGAGGCTTGAAGAGCTCTGGTACAGATTTTGTTGGGTGTTACATCAACGATTCTTCATGACAACTTCGAAACGGTTCTCTGAACATGTCACAGTAGTGACTACAGCATTACAGATATTGTTGATACCAGAGGTCCTAGTTGTCCTTGAGTACACTACCGGAATATTTTTATTCAAGTATAGTCTATGGACATCCTAATGTTAATTCCTCGCCCTCAGAAAACGGCAAAACGCACATTTTGGGGGCGGGCTCCAGGGCAGATATAGTAGTAATGTAACGGCTTTCCAATGTGAGCAATATCTATGTTCCTTAATTTTGAGTGTTGAAACCTGAGGTCTTTCATGAGTTTTCAAAGTCAGACTTTGCCAGTCAAGTTCCTACGTAATGTTTCTTCCTATTATGAGGCCCCAATTACTATAGCCTGAAAGGTTTATCCTGAAAGGTGTTTTGGTATCAAAAATGGACGTGAAAGTCCAGATACTTGGACGACTAGAGTAGGTTGCGGGCTCTTTGGGGAAACAAGTACTACGGCTTAGCTGGAAACAGCTAATTAGTCTAAGCTACCATTCTGCAGCAGTGCCTCCTCCATCCCTGCATTGTACTAAACACCTCGCCTTTCTAGTACTTCCAAGACACAGCTTGGAGCAAGGCATGCGAAGGGGAAGGAGCTGTTCAAGAAGTTTGCCCAGCGCTGGCTTGACGCCGTCATGAAGGCCAGGAAGGAGCTTGGCATCAAAGGCTTCTGCGCGGTGGGTGGCAAGACTCCGCAAGGGAAGGCTCTCTACGCCAAGGCAAAGGCTTTTTATGCCGAGTGAGTGGCACGTGGCCAGCCTGCTTTCGTGGTAGTTCATGGAGTAGGCATGCCTGAAAAGTCTTGGTGCATCTGACTGTACAGATAGATCAGATGCCGAAGTGGTGCAGGGGTGCTGCAAGGTTCTCCTGCCAGCCGACAAGCAATTTGGGGATGATCGTTGCAGAATGTCCAAAAGATCTCAGCCTCCCTGAAAGCACTCGGATTTGTACGAGACTGTCCAAAGCGGATTCTTTGAAGCCAAGCAAGGTAATCAAAGATGCCTCCTAGGCTTGACCTGTGAACCCTGCAAAATCTTACCCCACCTGTCCAATGCGTTCTGCAACTCTGCAAAGCATTACCCTAAGGATCCAAATATGCCAGTGTAGATAATATTTGTAGATGTTAGGGCCTAATGTACTAATGTAGGCAGTATTTCAATACTTGGCTCCCCAATGTTGTGGCGCAAATAGCACCGCGAATATCCCTTGCTCATGCAAAGGCCGACGCTGGAGTGCCGCGTGCAGGTATTTCGAGCCAGAGCCCTGGGTGGAACCGGTATGCATTGAGGAGCAGGTAACATTGGTGCCATTGCGGGCTCCGTGTATGTGAGCAACATCAATTCGGGGCGTGCAGCAGAGGCTGCAAAATTTGGAGAAGGA